CCTTGGCCTGGTTGAACCTCATCCCGTTGGATGCATCTTCCAGTGAGTGACTTAAAGGTGAGAAGTTTGCGTTTGTGGAGCAGCAGAATTGGGGTGGCTGAAGAGTTTCTGGGAAAAAACATGCCCTGTGTTTCCAGTTCACACATGGGGACACCATGGCTGGTGTTGCTTTCTCACCACCCCACCACTCCCAGCAATTTGCTGAAGGTTCCATTTGTCTACTACAGGGACCCAGGGGAAGAAACAGAATGGTTTGGTCATAAAGTCATGGAATGGTTTGAGTTGGAAGGGACTTTAAAGCTCATCTTGTTACACCTCCCCTGCCATGGGCAGAGACACCTTCCACTAGACCCAAAGAAGAAAGAAGAAAGAAGAAAAAAGAAGAAAAAAGAAGAAGGAAGAAGAAGGAAGGAGAAAGAAAAAGAAGAAAAAGAAGAAAGAAGAAAGAAGAAAGAAGAAAGAAGAAAAGAAAGAAGAAAGAAGAAAGAAGAAAGAAGAAAGAAGAAAGAAGAAAGGAAGAAAGAAGAAGAAGATGAAGAAGAAAATAATAATAAGAAGATGAAGAATAAGAAAATAATAATAATAATAATAAAATAAGAAGGAGAAGAAAATAATAAGAAAATAATAATAAGAAGAAAATAATGAGAAGAAGAAAGGAGAAGAAGAAAGGAGAAAGAAGAAGAAAGAAGAAGAAAAAGAAGAAAGAATAAGAATAAGAAAATAATAATAATAATAATAATAACAAAATAATAATAAGAAAATAATAATAACAACAACAAAATAAGAAGAAAAAGACTAATAATAATAATAAAACAATAATAAATAATAATAATAATAACAAAATAAGAAGAAGAAGAAGAAGAAAAAGAAGAAGAAAATAATAATAATAATAAAAATAAAAATAAATAATAATAACAAAATAATAATAAGATGAAGAAGAAGAAGAAGAATGAAGAATGAAGAGGAGAAGGAGGAAACTCATAGTTGATCTGTCCCTCTCCTTTTTGACTTTCACTCAGTTCTTTTCTTTCCAGGTGCTTTTCCACTCCAAGAGTGAGGCCTTGGCCATGCTCCCTTCTCACCCAAGCTAAGAAGGTCACGCTCTCCATCTGTGATCTCTGCCAATGGCATCTGTCTGAATTGGAAGGGAGCTGGAAGAGAGAGGACAAGGGGACTCCATGGATACAACTCTCAAGTGGAGAAGCCCCAGAGTCACTCTCAACATTGTGTCTGGGTGGTTTGAGCACCGTCAGCAACCGTGGAGGCACCTCCATCCTTGCCTGAGCTCCATCGTGGTCCCTCAGGGACACAACCCCACCTCTTTTTCTCCTTTTGGAGGAGCCACACCACATAAAAGTTGTCAGCTGTGCTCATCCTTTAGCAGTTAAATAGAGAGGCGAGTCCGGCACCTTCCCGGGGGTGTGAATGTGGGGGGGAAAAGGGGAAAAAAGGGGACAGAACATGTGAAATGTGGATTTTCAACGGATTTCAACCATCCCAGGTTGATGGCAAAAGGACCAGCAATGTGTAAATCTGGAGGACAGCACAGTAGAACCTTCCTGAGGTGTCTCCATGGGACTCTGCAGTTGGAGTTGGGCTTGGTGAGCCTTTTGTCTGCTCTGGTGTGGCTGTTCCTCCACCAATTCATTCCCTCTCCCTGCTCTCATCCCTTCCCAAGCTGTCCCAAAAAAAAAAAGGAAAGCAGTCAGGAGGCCACTGCAAAAAAAAAATCTGAACTGCCCTCCAAGGCTCCAAACAACCCCAAAGCCACGAAGAAAGTCCTGGGTGTGATCAGGAGATCCAAGGATCAAACACAGCCCTGATTCCTCATTGCTCCTTGGAGCAGCTGGAATTTATGGGGGAGATGATAAAGAAAGCAAAAAGAGCCCTGTCGAGGTTCTCTGTGCTCGCTGTAAATTGTCCATAAATTAAAAGTATTGCCCACATTCAGCATTTAATGATGTCAGTAAAAATATAATGTGAGAGGCCCCCCCCCAAAAAAAAAGAAGTTGCTCCCAAAGAAGGATGAATATTCTGTGTGAAATATTGAGCCTGTAAAAGAGGCATTTTTCTTTTTGCCTGGAGAGCTGGTATTTCTCTTCCTATTTCATTTACATCAATCAATGATGAAAAAAAAAATAATATAATATCAGGAATCGGATTTTGTAGCTGGAGGAAACCTGTGGAATCCGAAGGAGTTTGGGGATTATAGGCACACTCCAAAGAGAGCAGCACAGAGAGACTGATTTGTGTCAACTTTTCAAGTTTTCCTCGCTCAGGGAAGTCAGTTCCTGTTTCTGAATCCTGGGGCAGGGTGAGGTCATGCCAGGAAAAACTAGTTAAATTGTCACTGCAAACTTTATTTTTGTCGGTTCCTTCGTTCGATTTTTCCACGAAATGTTGGCTTTGGAAACGGTGACCTCAAGAAGTACAAAATAAATAAATAAATAAATAGATAAATAAATAAATATGGAATTATTCCACTTGATATTCCAATGTCTGTTGAAAAAATCTGGCTGGAAAACAATCACAAATGATAAATGACATCTTATTGTAGCCTGAGAACAAGAGAGGAGAGACCTGAAAGGACAATACAGAGAATGGGGTGAAGGTCGAGTCCCCCACCCTAAACCTGCCCTAATGTGTCCCACACTAACCCTACGCTGATGGATCTGGGTAGGATTCAATCCTGCCTTTCCTTGGACTTGTTTTGACTCCAAGGAAACCGGGAAGAGGGCAGGGAAGGAGGGCAGTGGATCAGGGCATCCTGCTGATGGATCCTGCCTCGCTCCTGCCTCTGGAAAACAAGAGGGGTTTGCTAAAAACCCCGGAATTCAGCCAAGCCACTTGTCCCAGGGGTGGGGTGGGGGGCAGAAAAAGGCTGGAACTGTGTTCCTCTAAGTGCCATTGGGGAAAAAAAAACCCTCCATGCCTTTTTTTCCCTCCTGCCTCCCTTTGTTTTGTCTTCCCTTGCCCTGAAGAAGCTGTTGATTATAATTTCAGTGCAGTTTGAGATTCAAGCTTAATGGAGCGGCCCTTTCTATTTTCGTCCTCTGTGCATTGTCATATGAAATAGCCTGGATTATATTTTGTTGTTGTTGTTGATGCACTGAATATTCTGGATATTTAAATCCAGTAGGGTTTGTGACGGGCTGAGGTTCTGTCTGTGTGCTGGGGAAAGGAAAAGCTTGAGGTTTGCTCGTTCCTGTTATTTATTTCACGGGGAGATTGAGATTCTGCCTCGTGGGTTAGGTTTGTTTTTATTTTTAACCAGGGAAAGCTAAAGAATTAATTGGAATGGGCAATCCCCTGCCCATGGTGATTTTTAACATCCCTCCCAACCCAAACCAGTCCATGATTCTGTGAATTCTGCCCTCCTTACTCAAGCACCATCTTGAACCTTCCTTGGTCCTGCTGGAAACGATTGATACCAAATCTGTGTTTTGTTTTAAAAGTCTAAAGGTCCAGCAATAATTTTTTCATGGCTATTTTTCCTATTGATCCTTCTGCTGTGATATTTCCAGCCTTAGATTATTTCTTACCCTGTTTGTGGTGTCCTAATAATTCAGTTCCCAACCTGTGCTGTTCCTCGTTGTGTTAGACCATGAATATCACCAAGGACAAGCTGGGGTGCTCTCTGAGCATATACAAGACACTGCCTCATCCAGGAACCCCCAAAATGGGCCAAAACAGGTAAAATAATGAGCTAAGAAAATATATGAAGCTTCTAAAAACAGTCATAAAAGGCCACAAATCTATTCTCTGGAAAACCCCAATTTAAGGGGACGTGTTCCAAAATAACAGGGTGGATTAGTTTTAGGCAGAAGGGATGCCTGTGTTGGGTTAAATTCAGTTCTCAGCAGCCCTGAGTGTTTCTCCACAATCCTTTGTGTTCCTCTGGAATGCTTCCAGAGCCAAGGATGCTCTGCAGCTGCAGGGACATGACCCCTCTTTTTCCAGATAATTGTTGTCCAATCTGCATATTTTAGCTTGAAGACAGAGGCAAGGTTGGTTCAGAACCCACAGAGATCCCAAGGGTTAATATTCCCTAAGATTCCCATTAGTGGGTATTCATTAAGGGTTGGATCCGTCAGCTGTCATCTCACATCCCATCCTTTCTGAACCCTCCGAAGATCCAACTCTACAAAGTTGAATTTCTAGTTCAGAAATTTGGAGCTGTGAAGTGGAAATATTTTAAGTTTCAAGAGCAGCCAGACAGTCCAGGTTGGTGAGTTCGGGGTGTCCTGTAAGAGGAGAAGAAGGGAAAAAAAAAAAGAAGGATGGGGTGCAAGAGAGATGGATCCTGATTCAATTCAGAAGTTGGCAAACTGACCTAATGAACATGGCAGGAGGGGAGAACTGGATGATCCTTGAAGTCCCTTCCAACCCAAACCATTCTAGGATTCTGTGCTTCTGTGCAATGAGGTGAATTCAACTGGAAAAACTGGGAAAAGTTTGGTTGTTCACCGGGAATTTGAAAAATGAAGTTAGAAACAGGGTAATAACACCAAGATTGGTGTTATAACACGTGTGGGTGCAGATTTGTTGGCAGAGCCAGGGAAAAACTGGAAAATGAAGAGATTTTTTGTGTGTTAATGCAAAGCAGGGAAGAGCTGAAGCACCTGAGGAGGCCTTGAAAGCTGCAGCTCAAATAACATCAAGAAACATCCCCATTCAAAGCTTGGCACTGAAGAGGGTTGGGTGGATCTGGACCAGCCTTGGCAGCTTAATCCTGCCTATCCATCAACCATCCCAAGTGAGGGAGGTGCTGTGGCCTCCCCCACCACCCAGGGGTGGTTGGAAGTATTTCCCCCTCTATCCCTGATTTTTAATTTTAATTCCAATTGGTTCCTTCTTGTCCCTCTCTCGGTGGACGAGACAACAGCCGATCTCAGTCCCCTTTCTAACAACCTTCTCCACGTCAGAAGGAGGTTGCCATGCCAACCTTCTCTTCTGTTGCCAAGCAGAGGATGGAGTGTGGCTCCACTTCCAGTTCAGCACAAGATCTCAGGAGGAACCATCTCCTCCACAAAGAAACACAGCAGCAACCCCAGAGCACCCAATTTATGGGATGTCTCCGACCAAACCCTCCCACCCTGTCCCAGGTGAGTCTCCTTGAAGTCAACCAAAGCCAAATGAACCCAGTTTGTGCAGCTGAGCTCTTAAATCTTGGATTTCCTGGTACAGGAATGGATGGGATTAAGGTATTGTGTTTTTTTTTCCCCACATGGGAGGTCCAAACAGAATGGAAAGGTTGGCTCTGAGGAAGTAAAGGAATTCTGTCCTTGAAAGCATGCACCAAACCTCTGGGAATGCTTGTGGAAGGCTTATTTATCTCTGCTTGAGAGGAGCCACGTTTGGATGGGATGAAACAGGGAAAAGGATCAGTGACAGCAGGGACTGGTCCAGAGTATTGGGCTTTGTCCCCATATTTGCTGCTGGTGACAGAAGAAATGAATCTGTGTTTAAACAGAGAGAAGATGAGGCAATCTCAGAGATGAGGAAGAATCTGTTTGTCTCATACAGCTTTTCCAGGAGCAGTTCATCCAGGGGAGAAACAGAATCATGGAATCATGGAATGGTTTGGGTTGGAAAGGACCTTCAAGCCCACCTCATGACACCCCCTGCCGTGGGCAGGGACACCTTCCACTAGCCCAGGTTGCTCCAAGCCCCATCCAGCCATGACATTTTGCAAAGTTTGGAGGTTGGTAAGGGCAGTGTTGACGTGTGTCACTTGTCACAGGGGGATGCATGAAATGGCTCCAGGGATGGTGCCGGGTCCTGCACTTTGGCCACAACAACCCCCGGCAGCTCCAGGCTGGCACAGAGGGGCTGGAGAGCAGCCAGGCAGGAAGGGAGCTGGGAGTGGGGATGGACAGGGAGCTGAACAGGAGCCAGAGTGGGGCAATGGATCCTGGCCTGGAGCAGGAACAGTGTGGCAGTAGGAGCAGGGAAGTGATTCTTGGCCTGGACTCAGCACTGGTGAGGCCACCCCTGGAGTGCTGTGTCCAGTTCTGGGCCCTCAGCTCAGGAAGGACATGGAGGGGCTGGAGCAGGTGCAGAGGAGAGCAACGAGGCTGGGGAAGGGACTGGAGCACAAGTGCTGGGAGGAGAGGCTGAGGGAGCTGGGGCTGTTCAGCCTGGAGAAGAGGAGGCTCAGGGGAGACCTCCTCACTCTCTGCAACTCCCTGACAGGAGGGGGGAGCCAGCTGGGGGTTGGGCTCTTCTCCCAGGAACCAGCAGTAGGACAAGAGGGCATGGCCTCAAGCCCTGCCAGGGGAGGTCTAGATTGGATATTAGAAAAGAATTCTTTGCAGAGAGGGTGCTCAGCCATTGGAATGGGCTGCCCAGGGAGGGGATGGAGTCTCCGTCCCTGGAGGTGTTTAAGGTGAGACTGGATGTGGCATCAGTGCCATGGGCTGGGAACCACGGTGGGGGTGGATCAAGGGTTGGACTTGATGATCTCAGAGGTCTTTTCCAATCCATCTGATTCTATTGTTCTGTGATTCTATGATGTTTAGGTGACTGAGGGTGGTGGGTGTGTCTGTGTCAGAGCTGCACAGAGAGGATGAGAAATCCTGGGTGGCACCTTCCACAGTTGTGACCTCTCTTAGTCTGTATCTCTTCTCATCAACCTGGCCAATCTCAGCCACCCTCAGAGAATCACAGAATCTTTGAGGTTGGAAAAATCCTCCAAGATCATCGAGTATTGTGAGGGGCAGGGGAGGGGCAGGGACTGAGCTCTGCTCTGGGGGGACCAGGGACAGGGACCAGGGACAGCACCCAGGGAATGGCTGGAGCTGTGCCAGGGCAGGCTCAGGTTGGATCTCAGGCAAAGGTTCTTCCCCCAGAGGCTGGTTGGGCACTGCCCAGGCTCCCCAGGGCAGTGGGCACAGCCCCAAGGCTGCCAGAGCTCCAGGAGGGTTTGGCTGATCCTCTGGGGCACAGGGGGGGACTCTTGGGGCTGGGCCTGTGCAGGGCTGAGGGTTGGACTAGATGGTCGTTGTGGGTCCCTTCCAGCTCAGCATATTCTGGGATTCTGTGAGTCCCCCCTGTGCCCGATGCTCACCATGTCACCCAGCCCAAAGCATTCAGTGCCATGTCCAGTCCTTCCTTGGACACCTCCAGAGGTGGGGACTACATCACTGCCCTGGGCAGCCCCATCCAAGGCCTGACCACCCTTTCCAGGAAGAAATTTCTCCTGATGTCCAACCTGACTCTCCCCTGGCACAACTTGAGGCCATTCCCTCTCCTCTTGTCCCTTGTTCCCTGGGAGCAGAACCTGACCCATCCCGGCTCCCCCCTCCTGTCAGGGAGTTGCAGAGCCAGAAGGTCCCCCCTGAGCCTCCTTTTCTCCAGGATGAGCTCCCCCAGCTCCCTCAGCTGCTCCTTATAGGAATTTCTCTCCAGGCAAGGACAAAGATCCTGCTTTTTTCTGGACACACAGAGGATGCACTGCAGAGGATCAGACCATTCACTCACCATCCTCTCATCATCAAAGCCACAAACTGACCAAAGGAAAAGAAGAAGAATTAAAACCTCTGCATTCACAGGACAGGGTGGGGAGGCGCTGGCACAGGTTGCCCAGAGAAGCTGTGGCTGCCCCTGGATCCCTGGAAGTATCCAAGGCCAGGTTGGACGGGGCTTGGAGCAACCTGGTCTAGTGGAAGGTGTCCCTGCCCATGGCAGGGGGTGGAATGAGATGGGCTTGAAGGTCCTTTCCAACCCAAACCATCCTGTGATTCCATGATTCCGTTTCTCCCCTGGATGAACTGCTCCTGGAGAAACTGGATGAGACAAATAGGTTCTTCTGGCAGGGAAGTCGAACAGGATGATCTTTAAGGTCCCTCCCAAACCAAACCATTCCATAATTCTCTGATAGGTGAGAAACCTGCGTCTAAACGGATCTGGGAGGGAAACAGGGACATGATGCCGCTTTAAATCCCGATTTTTCTCGTCTTCTCTTTACAACCAACATCATCAGCAGCAAAAGGCAATCACAGCTCGTGTCTGGGTACAGATGAGCCGAGGATGTTACACGATGTTGGTCATTAGCTTTCAATGAGAGCAGGTGACAAGGGACAGGGTTCTGCAGCTCCAGGAGGGGATGATTTACAGACCCGAGGGATAACAACCCTCGTAAGGAACAAAGCTGGGAAAATCAAGCTCCACGAGCTCCACCTGAACTGCACTTACCTCTCCGTGTGTGTGTGTGTGTGTACCCAGGGCTCATATTTAGTGCTGCTGGTGGCACACTGACAGAAGGCTTAGTGAAAACAAATGTTAATGTTAATTAAGCTGGAAAACTTCCCAGAGCCTGAGAATGAGAGTGTTTGCTCGGATAATAATTCAGATAGCCTGTGCCCTGCTCAGCACTTGCACTGGGAAATGGGAGCACTCAGAAAAAGGGAATCAAAGAGCTGGAGGAGATCATCATCTCCTTCCTAGGATGGGGGTTTGGGGGGGAGGGTTGTGTGCTGCTCTTTGTAGCATCTTTTCCAGGCTTTAAGCACCCCAAGTTTCACTGATAAAAGTGGTCAGACACCCCTCACGCCTTCCTTGTGAGAACATGCCATGCTGACAGAGCTCACAGCTTCCTGACGTGCCTCCTAAATCCTCCTTTACTCCATTTCACTTCCAGATGATGATAATTAACCTCTCTTCCCACAGAGCACGGCGAGCAGGGAGAGCTTGGAGGTCTGAGTGAGGACAGGTCGGGCATGGTTTCCTTTGCACACAGTCAAGATCTTGATGCTTCATCTAAATAATTTTAGTTCTGTTGCCTTGAACTGGTCAGCAGGGCCTTGCACCAGCTAATGATCCGGCCCAGTGATTTTAAATTCCCTTTTACAGGCCTTTAATTCAAATTACAGTCCCTGCTGCCAGCCTGAGCCTCATGAACACGAGACAAGGGCCGGGGGCTAAAAAATGCTCCATCTCTTATCACAGGGATGGGAACTCCTGGATGTTCGTTTATTTATTTATTTATTTGTTGCTGAAAGGACTTGGGGGGGCTGTGAGAAAACATAACAATTAGGAGCTGAGGAGATGCACACAAATAGCCCAGAAAGCCCTGGTAGCACTTCAATCATTGCAGGAGGCCAGGGGATGGCTCGACACGTCCCTATTTTCTGCTTCAGTGCCATGACTTCCACATCGTGGTTGCAGCGTGTGCCGAGTCCCAGCTGGCAGCTCAGCTCTCCACTGGGGTTGTAATTAAGCCTCCTTGGCTTTCAGCTGGGGTGATGCTCCCCAGAGGCCTCCTGAACATTTTCCAAAGGGATGGGAGCTCAGCACTCGGAGAGGGAGCCAAGAGCAGATCCAGGGAAGTGCCGTCCCCGGCTGCCGTGTCCTGTGGGACAGGAGGCTCTGCAGACCTCCCTGGAATCATAGAATCATAGAATCAT